TGCCCCTGGGTTCAAGGCACCTGTCTCTGGCACCCATTGGTCCTGATTCTTCCTGTGAACCTCTCTACTGCCCTGGCTGCCCTAAGCTCTTGAGCCTGTTCCTGCATCCCTGCCCTGCCCTTCCTGACACAGGCCAGAGACTGTCCCTGGGCCTCAGTCCCAACTGTGAAACGGGCAGAATGGTGGCTACTGCGCCCTTCTGGAGGGGTCAAAAGGAACATCACGAGGCTTCATGGACCAACACTCATACGCCTTGCACCCCAGGCTGGCCCTGTGCAGTGACACAGAGGCCAGCGGAATGCAGACACGGAAGGGGACAGCACTCCTGCCTGGCCCACTGGGTGCTGGCTCAGGCCTTTGCTGATCTGCTGGCAGAGGCTGGAGGGAGCACAGAACACAAGGAGGGCCCACTGGGAATAACTTGTGGTGCAGCTGCAGGACAAACGGGGGCGGAGGCAGGAAGCAAAGACAGCACCTCCCACATAGCCTCAGAGGGCTTGGTCCTTGGCTCTTTAGACAGCTTCTGACCCACAGAAAAGACACACATTTGTTCATTTAAACAAAAACACAAACCCAGCCCTAGTGATGCTCCTCTGGCAGAGAAAGGCAGAGGCCTTGTGGCCCTGGGTGCTGCTCTGGGTTGGATCCAGTCTCACCCACAGGCCAGCAATCCTGAGATTATCACCAGCATTTTAGGAGGCCTGAAACTGAGGCTCAGCAAGGGTGCATCACTTGCCTGGGGCACACAGCTGGGGAGGCAGAGGAGAGAATTCACCCACTGAGAGCCAGGCTGTGAGTTGGCCCAAGCTACCTTTCCCAGCATGGACACAGGGGTAGAAGTCCCAGCAAAGCACTAACCCAAGCAGCACTGACATCAGCCAGAGGGAAACTCCCTGAAGACTCTCAGTGCTGCAGGACATGAGAGCCAGAGACCACTGGAGGATGGCCCAGCCTAGGCAATGCTGGCAAACAAACGTGCTGAAAACAGAAGTCGCAGCTCGGAGCTAGGGTTTCTCAGATCCTCCAAGGCCCGGGACACAGGAAGCCAAGGAAACCAGGCCTGGCCCAGCCTCAGCAGTGCCCCCAGGCACCAGCTGTGAGCAGAGTCCTACTGTGTGACAGGCCCAATCGGTGGGCATGTGCTTCTTTCAACAGAGAACACAGCTGGTGCAAGCCCTCTTACCCAAGAAGCTGTGAGGACCAGGGCAATTAAGCCATGTGCCCAGTGGTCACACAGTGAGCCAGGGAACAGGTCAGCATCCATCCTGGGGTGTCTGTTCAGGAGCCAGGCAAGAAACACAACATTAGGGCCCCAACAGATCTGGGTTCAGAGTTGGGCCCACACACACTTGGGCTGTGGGACTCCTGTTTCTGCCCTTACAGAAAGGGATTCTTCCTGTTTTGGGGACCCTGTCTCCCTGTGTAGCCCAGGCTGGCCTTGAACTCTCAGTAATCCTCTTGCCTCAGCCTCCCAGCTGCTGGGATTACAGGTATGCACTGCCACACTTGGCAAAGGAAGGGGTTCTGTGGGTGTCAGCCTTTCATCACTGGAACAAAACACCTGAAAAAAATCAATTTAAAGTAAGAAGCATTTGGAAGACTTAGTCTGTGATCTCCTTGGTATCATCGCCAGCCCACTTGCTTGGCAGCTGGGTCCTGATCATTTGCTCAGGACAACCATCATAGAATTCTGCCCAGTGGTGACCCTGACAGCCCACTGTATGGAGGGGACAAATGTCATCCAGGGGCAGGGGCTTTTCTGCAGTGCTTTCAGCGTTCAGTGGCACAGCAAGCCTTTTTCCCACCTCATCCCCAGGCCCCGATGGTGTCTAATAGGCCGCATTCCCACCAACATGGCTACCACATTCCCAGCCCCACCAGGACCAGCTCTCCCTTCTGAGGACCCACCTCAGTCACAGTATGAATGCTCTACTGTCACAGTACAAATGGTCATGGTAACACAGAGTGGCCGGCAACCACTGCAGCAGCACACAGTGAACATCTGTGACTGTCCCCAAGCTAGTGGCTCTACTTCACATTCTGCCTCACTTGGGTAACTTATGAATGGGCTCCCAGTTGGTCCTCAATAAAGCTGCAGCCCCAAGTGCTCAGCATCCCCTGAAGTAACAGGGATTGGAGGTGATATCTAAGTGACTGCCACCAAGAGGTAGGTCCTGGAAGATGCCCTGGACCCTGCCTGAGCGTTCTGGATTCCCCAGGCACCTCCCTCATAGCAGCTGGGAGGCTCTGAGATCCAAATCCTACTTCCCCCCAGGATTCTCCCACAGGTTCCCAGACCTGCCCACCTCCTCACAGAAAATGGTGTAACATCTGCACAGAATCTATGGACATCCTCCATCCCACTAGCGGGCTCACTGGGCGCCCGCCTCATTCCCCAGCAGGATCATAGCTCCAATGCCACACCTGTCTGACTGCGGGGGGTCTTGATCTCACCTGCCAGACTTTGAGCTCCCCGAGAGCAGGTTCTGTGTCTGCATCTGCCCAGCACAAATGCAGCCTGAGCACTCAGAAATGACACAGAGAATAGATGCCAGAGGAACCTGGTGCCACCACTTTGCTCCCACGTGCCCACAGGCAAGTGGCCTGAGCTCTGTGAAGTTCTCTTTCCACTCCCAGAAATCAATCAGGGCTGCTGTAGGGGTGGAAGGGCTTACTCACCACCGTTCTCACAACAGTGCCTGGCACAAGTCACAGTGCTATGTGGTGTTTCTCAGCCTCCAGGGCATCCCAGCAGCCCGAGATCCCTGCCCTGGAGAATCTGGGAACTGGAGACCTCAGGAATGGGTCCCCTCCTGCTTTACTTTCCTGTCACACAGAGGTTGTGAGGTGCCAGGTCCAGGTGGGGGGCCACCTCCAGGACCTCCTAAGGGCCGCCTAGCCTACCCCAAAGGTCTCTCTATGGTAGAGGTGGGAGCTGCCAGCTCAAAAGGAAAAGCTGTGCTCTCCAAACCCCCAAGTGACAACACACATCAGGCTCCCTCTCCCTGCCCAGGGAGTAGGGCATGCGGCTTCCATTAGGCCACATCTGGAAGTGCTGGCCCCACCAGGCAGCCCAGATCCCTGGCACAGCTCCACTCCTACAAGAGACCCCCAATCCAAGTCAGGGCCTGGGGCGATGGCTGGAAACCGCCTTTCCCAGGCCCCAGGCTGCCATGGCAACACAGGGGGTCGTTTCCGGCCTGTTGCAGCCTCTTTCAGGGTTTGCCCTGGTACCACTGCCCCAGCTTCTCTATCCAGGGTCTCATCATGACTGGAGACACCCCACCCCCAGCTCTCCTCTATAATAGTAGCCAGGCCCAAATGCCACTTCTCTATCCAGAAGTTCCATCAGGTAGCCAGATCCACACGCATGACGCCTCCTGTCACCCACCCTCACAGATCAGTGTCCTCCACCCCCATCAGACCCCAGGGGCAGGGAAGCTGAGTCTGCAGGGCTCCCTGCATGACTTGGCCCAGATAGGGTGCTCCCTAAACGTCTCTGAAGAACAGATGGTGGATAATAATTGCTCACACTTCCAATTACTCAGCTCCACACCAAGCACCCGGCATGCACTAGCTCATTTAATCCTCAAAACAGGGGCTTCACTGCAGCTGACAGATGGAGAAACTGAGGCACAAGGCAGCCAGCCGCCTGCGTACTCACGTGGTGGAGGCATGATGGGTGAATACCAGGCAGTGGAAACAGACAGAAGGGTGAAGGATGTTTATCTGGCTCCCGTCCCCCACCACCACCTTGCATTCTATTCTCTGTACACTGAGAGCTGCAGCTGGGTCAGGATCCTCTCTAAGACAGCCCTGGCCCAGTGAGGGGCCTTCATCCCCAAGACAGCCCAGGGGAAAGAAAAAAGTGAACCTGGGCCCTGAGAGTAAGCAGCCCCCAGGATCAAGCAGCCCAGTGTTCCAGATGACCCTGGCAGCAGGAGGCCGCAGTGCAAAGGCAGGAGCTAGGCCTGCTTCCCAACCAGCTGCACCCCTTTAGGCACACAGCACACATGCACCTCATCAGGGCTCCCTGCAGGCCCCTGCAGCTCTGGGCTGGGGCTGGGGAGCAGCTGGAACTTGGAACAGGAGAGGGGGGACCTGTAACCCAGCACCAGGCTGGGATTCCACAAATTGCCCCTCTTGCTGCAATGCATGGGTACAGGCTGCACACAGTCCACACCCAGCAGTGTCCAAGCAGGCTCAGAGAGCAGCCAAGGCCACATGGCTCGGGCAGCAGGACACAGCAGTGGGACACTAGAGAAAGCCCAGAGATCCTGCTTCCCTCTCCTCCCACACGGCCCCAGCCAGGGGACCCACACCCTCTCGGGACACCCCATCTTCCCAGGCCCTGCTCGCTGCTGAGCTGCTGGACATCTAAGCAGGGTTTGTAGAGGAAGTGACAGGAGACAGACCTCTGGAAACCAGACACCTCCCAGAGTGCCCTGAGAGGGAATGGGAAGAAAACAGAACTGTGGGGGGAGGGGCGAGACAGCTTCTAGGGGAGGTGCTGTCTGGGAAGTGTGGGCAGCAAGGGAACCTGGGTGAGGAGGGGTGACTAAGTGAAGAGGCAGCCTGAAAGATCCACTCCTCCAGCATTTATGGAGCATCAACTGTGTACACAGCACTCCTGGAGGCCCTGGGGCTCAGTGTGACAGACCGGGTTCCCTTCCAGTGCGGAGACCATACACTAACAGTAAACAAGCATCTATGGAAGTACATACCATCAAGTCAGCTAGGGCTCAGAGAAATCTAAACAGGGTTAAGAAGAAAGATGGATGGCCAGGAAAGGAGACACTGGGAGGAAATTGGAGCAGAGAAAAGCCATCTGTAAGAAGTGCAGCAGATACAAAGGCCCTGGGGCCAGTGGGGCTATGCAGATCAGGCCAGGGGAGGAAGAAGGGGAGGAAGATCTACACAGCCCTGTGTGACCTGCTGAAATGCTCACAGCCAAGACGGTGACCTGCACCTGTAAAGGAAGCAGGAAAAAATCTTCTTACCTTCAGGGCTGCCCCTGGGGACAGAATGGACAGAGTTGGGGTCTTCGTCCTCTGCCCGAGAATGGGCTGGAGCCAGCCGGTGCTTGGGTACTTCCTGGGTGGGCAGGACCTGGGCTTCCTTGTGCAGGGGCATGACCAGGATAGGTTGGGTGCTGGGTTTGACAGGACCTTCAAGAGGGCTCAACGTAGCCCAGGATGGGACACCACGGGCTGGGCTTGACCCAGGCAGGGGCGCAGGGCCCTCCTGCCCAGAGCTGCGTGGGGTGGCCTGTGCATCCGGGATGAGGTTCTCCTCAGGCCTTGCCTTGGCTTCTGCGCCCTTCTCCTGAACAACGAGGCTGGGCCTGGCGGGGGCCATGGTAGGCAGATCACCCAGCACCCTGGGGCCACCTGCTGCCAGTCGCTCAGTGGCCGCCGTTTGCTCTTCTTCCGGCCCCTCTCCTCCCTCCTCCTGCTCCTCTTCAATGTCCTCTGTCACTCTCCTAGCTTTGGCCTGCACAGGAGCTGGCGGACCCAAGGCAGCAGCCGCTGTGGGCCGGGGGAGGGCTGCTGGCCAGGGAGTTGCCTGCATGGTGGACCGTAGCTGGATCCCGCCTCCCAGGGCAGCTGGGGCACCCCCTGCCCCTGCCTGGGCCTCGCTCACCAGCGCTGACACGGTCTCCCCCTCAGCCACCTCCTGGTCATAACTGTAGGGATCTTCATAGTGTCGCTCAGGGTCCCCCTCCTCAGTGTCTGAGAAGTTCCCATGACAGCCAGGAAGGTGGTAGCAGATGAGTTCCCCACCTGCGTCAGGGCAGTGGCACGCCCGGCAGGCTGAAAGGTGGATGGTGTGGCCAGCAGGGTACTTCCGGCTGGAGTGGATGCAGCCCACCTGACCACACTGTGGGCAGCTGTCAGCCACCACCACGGTCTCAATGCAGTTGGGCGGCAGCTCAGGGCACAGCATGAACTGGCAGCTGATCTTGCCACCGCCTGGTGGGCAGGAGCACTCAGTGCTGCCAAAGTCCACAAGGTAGGACTGCCCAGCAGGCACACGGCCATCCACGAAGCCACCCTGCACACAGTCGTAGTACTGGTAGCCCTCACAGGCACAGCCATGCCTCACACAGGTGGCGCAGCATGCACCTGGCTCCAGCGCCTCCTCGATGCAGTTCTCCAGCAGTGGGCACTGGACACCCGTGCAGTCCTGCCATGGTCCTGCCATGCCCCGTCTCGGGCCTATCACCACAGCCAAGGTTACCACCAGCCAGAGTCCTGCGGGGTCCGAGAGCAGTGCCATGGTCCTGCAAGCTCCTGGAGATGGAAAGGAAGCCCATCAGCACTACGGCATGTGCCCAGGTCAGCATGTGCCCAGGTCAGCATGTGCCCAGGTCAGCATGTGCCCAGTATGTGCCCTTGCAACTCTGCACCATGGAGGGCAGACACACACACAGGCAGGTCACCAACACAGATGCTGCAGGGGTCCTAACATGACCACACATCTGATCACTCAAGGCCACCTGACTCCTCCTTGGTGGCAGACCCACACAGACTGTGCTATTTGAGACAGGAACTTGCAGTGTAGTTCAGGCTGGCCTTGAATTTACTACGTAACGCGGGCTGGCCTGGATCCTGCAGTGGTCTCCTGCCTCAGCCTCCTGATACTGGGCTTACTGGCAAACACCACCATGCCTGCCTCAGACCCTCTGGTTGACCCCAAAGCCCGCAGACACACACAGGGACAAACACACCCATCTGAACATTCCTAGGGCACTCAGGATCTCACCCAGCCCCGCAGTCCTCCCTGCAGCTGCACCCTCTCACCCACAGACACTCACAGCCCTTGCGGGATATGCCCACCTTGTCCCTCCCATGTCCCAGCACACACGATCACCAAAACAATCCCTTCCAAGACTCCTCAATTCCCAGCCCATGGCTGCTGGTCAGGAGATACGGTCAGGGGTGCTGGGCAGGAACCAGCCTTCCACCCTCCGATGACAGCCCTGGCTGGAGAAGTAGGGCTCAGGACCACAACCGTGGGACCCCTAGGGACTGCACGTTCTGCACCGGGGACACTACCGCCCCCCTCCCTCAGCACCACCAAAGACATGCTGGACAACTCACCGCCACTGACACCCTCAGTACAGCCCTGCTCACCCTGTCAGCTGTCCCTTCTTTCTGCCCCACCCTACATCCAGCACCTGCCCCAGCACCAGCCTTGCTCCCCTCTGCCCTGAAACATTCCAGCCCAACACCCCCGCACCTCCCTTCCCCTGGAGGCCAGGGTAGCCGGGAGCAGGTGGTCCTGCCTTATGAGGCCACACAGTGCACCCATATCTCCACTGTCTCAGGACCCGCCTCTGCCCAGCTCTCAGGGCCAGAGGAAGCTACCCCAGGCCAGCTCTCTACTGGACCCTCCAAGTGCTTCTTCCCCCAGGCCCTCATCATCCTCTACAAGCCATTCAAATGCCCCTTCTTATCCTCAACCCATCTTCCACGTCACCCTTAAAAAGTCACAGGTCCCACAGCCCACGGGTGACCAGGGGACCAGTCCCCACCCCAGGATCCTGAAATCACAGGCAAGGGCTGTCTCGGCATCCACCCCTGAGGCAGTACTAATGTCAGTAGTTCTCTTGCTAAAATCACCAATTTTTAAAAAAAGAAAACACAAGCAAGTGGTATATCTAGCTTTTTAAATGTGTCATATTAAAAAGCTTTTAAAGTAGCTTTTTAAAAACTTCAGGCACTGGGCATGGTGGTACACACCTGTAATACCAGCACTTGAGAGGCTGAGACAGGAAGATCCTTGTGAGTTTGAGACCAGCCTGAGCTACAAAGTGAATTCAAGGCCACCTAAACTGCATAGCGAGATACTGTCTCAAAAACAAAAGATTCAGGTAAGAGGGAAAAGTGAGAACAGTGCCATTGTGACTTCCAGAGGAAGCACCAGTGGACACTACCTCCCAGCTAGACCAGGCAGGCATGCAAGACAGAGCTCCAAGGATTGCAAAGGAGTGACAGCCAGTATCACCACCGGCAGCAGTAGCCAGGTAGCATCAGCATCAACCTAGGGCCGCCAGACACCAGGGTTTCTTAGCATTACTTGGCTGCCTTCCAAGGCTGATAATCCGGGGTGGGGGGCAGATAATCAGTGCACGTGCAAATCCGTACCAGGCACGAATCAGCACAGGGAAGAAATAAACAACGGAAGGAAGACAGGAAAGGACTGGGCACGGAAAGACCATGTCAGCCGGGCAGGCAGGAAGGCTTCTCCAAGGACAGGCGATGATAAGCTGAGACTGAAAGGTCCAGCTGGGGGCAGACTGTGTCGGTGTCGGGCCAGCACAAAGGGCCTACGGCAGGACAGGCAGAAGCCAGTGAGGAGTAGCTGGGACCACAGTGGCTGGAGCCGAATGAACCAGCACAATAGGGGTGATAGCAGATGGAGAGGCTCCTGGTGGAGGCAAGGGCCACCATACATGTCCAGGAGTCCAAAGATGGCTGAGGACTCCGTGCCCAGGAGGGTGCAGGTGGTAGTGTGCAGGGCAGTAAACAATAGGCAGGCAGAGAGGACAAGTAAAGGGGAGGGTTAGATTTCTAACCCCCATCCTGTCCCACTAAGCCTGTCCCCTTGCTCTATTCACCTAGGTCTGTGGTCACCCCCACCCTGGCCACACTCAGGCAATGCCAGGCCTCAGGCTCCCTGCCATCCCCATCTCAGATCCAGGAAGAATACAGAACACCAGGTCTGAGCCTGATCGCAGTCTCTCATTTGCTGTGCATCCCTCGATAAGGCCCTGGCCCTCTCTGAGCCTTGGCTCGGCAACCACAAGGCAAGTCCCCATGCCTCAGATCATGGACAGGACCTCAGGGACACTTGTCTGGGACATGCTGCAGACAGCCCTCATATGGTGGATGCAGTCAGACAGAAATACAGGCTTCTGACTCCTTAGATACCCTGAAGTGTCATGACTCAACCTGCTTCCACCCAGAGCACTGAGTGGGAAAGGCAGAATGTACACCATTGCCACTCACGGGGATCAGCCTGCACACACCTGGATGGGCATGGTGGTGCATGCCTGTGACCCTCATACTCTGGGAGGCTGAGGCAGGAGGGTCACCAAGTTTGAGTCCTCCCTGAGCAACCTAGCAATTCACTATGACTCTACCTCAAAATAAAAAATAAAAAAGGATGGGCCAAAGTACCAATCAATCCTCAGTATCAAAAAAATTTTAAACATAAAAACAGTAACTATATCCCCAAGATAAGAGATAAACTATATAACACAGACAAATGGGTGCACAGAAATAGATGCCTGTCTAATAGGGGACAGGGCAGGGAAGAAATAAACTAATAAAGTAGGACTCTGCAGAGGCCAAAATAATTAACTCCTAGTCCCCAGGGTCAAATTAAAAACAACAGGATCCTGAAGGTCCCCACTGGATGCCTACAGGTGGGAGTAACTAGGGAGGGCTCAGGGGGACAGGACAGGACCACATCCAGCCTAGCCACAATGCTCATCCCCCTCCTCAGTGATTGGTTTACAAATGGACATGTGAAAAAACTTGGCCAATGAGACACAGAGCTGTGGACACTCTGCCAGAAGATAGGCAAATGATGCTAAGGCCTGACATCTGCACTTTGGTCTCTGGGACGCCCTGGCCACCAAGTACGAGGTTTGACCAACCCTGTGGGACGGGCCACAGGAGCCCATTCCTCCTGGTCTCCACTACAACCCAATTGTGAACCATCAATGGATTAATTCATGTAGGAGGCAGAGGCCTCCTCAGGATTCAGTCCCTTCCCAAAAGCCCTCCTCTGTGCAGAGGACGAAGCCTTCAACACAGAGCCTTTGAGGGACAGTCCACATGCGCAGTCTGCCACCCAAAGCTCCTGCTAAGGCCCCTGAAATATTAGTGCTCAGAGGCAGGCAATGCTGGGATGGAGCACCCACCAGGGCTCATGGTACAGCCTATGGGTACCAGGAAAAGGGAAGGAGAGATCTGAGACCATATTCCTGAGGCATGTGTGTTCTGGCTGGATTCAGGAGTATGAGAGCCAGCCAGGTATGACTGAGAAGCTCATGGGACCTGACTGAGCACCAGACACAACCAGGCACAGTGGTTTTTCCTAGGAACGTTGCAGGCAACAAACGCTGGAATTTCTAAACAGATCACCACCTGACTTGTTCTATATCGATGACATATCCTACAACGTTTTACACGGAGCATCAAAGGCAGGACAATGGATGTCTCCTCACCTCCCCACCACTGCTGAGGGGCCTGCTAACCAAGAAGCACGCAGATAACTAACATTTAGGTGACTAGGTAGGACATCAGGCCACCCTCAGCTGGCATTCAAGAGCAGCCTCTGGGCATGCCTCTGGCCAGTGCGGGTGGCTCTGATGGCAGCGGGTGCAGACAGTGCAACTATAGGGGAGACAGAGCCAGAAGGTGCTTGAGGTCACCCATCTGGGCTGTGGCATCTTGGGTCTGTGTGGACCAAACCCCTGCTTGGGTGAGGGGACAGGGGTTCCAAGATGGGCAGTGGGTTATATTCTGAGGACCATACCTTCAGTGGGTCAGGACCAGAGGACATACTCAGCAGGGTGCACCCTCAGGGATACCAGAAGGAACAGGGGACTGAGAGCACTATATGTGCTCCCTAAGACTCAACCTCTCCTCATAGCTCCTACAATGGTACCCTGGATAGGTTACGGTGGCGGGGGGATAGGGTGGCCTGGGCACATCAGAGTCAAAGCACCCAGACTGGTGCTCAGCCATGCTGACCTCCTGAATCCGGAGTGCAGCTCCCCTTCCTAGTGTTATCACTGCTCCCTAACCCATCCACAAACTCACACCCCTCATCCCTCTAGGAGGGTGACATCACCTCCCTTATCCATCAGCCCCCATGATCATCTAGTGTAGCCCCCTAGCAAACACTCACTGGGCTGGCAAGGACGACAAGGTCAAAGTAGCCTTGAGGATAACCACCACGTTGGAAGTGGGGCCACAATCAGGTTCACAGCGAAACATTCCTGGATGCCCAGTGGGCACCAGAAGCTGTGGAGAATACTGAGCCCAGATGTACTATGGGTCACTTTTTACTGTAGCTGTTGGGGACCTCAGCATACAATTTTATTCTCTTTCTTGAGGACTTTCATCTTTCACTTCAAGGAGGCACTTTATGATTTCTCTTTAATGTATCCAAAGGCCAGTGTCACTCTTCTCGTGCTGTATCACTGTTGCTATTAAGCAAACTAAGGATTACAAAGACACAAGCACTGTGCTACCACCACCATCTAGCTGCTGAG